CGGCTTTGGAGGATAGAGAGTGACCGTTTGACAGCTCAGAGATTTACCGAGAGAGGAGATCCTCAAAGACAGAGAAGCCGTTAAAAGATCTTCACTGAAGAGCAGAAAAACTAAATTGACAAAAATAGAAAAAGTCCTTGGGTGGATTGAAATGCAAGTCTGATTTTTCTTTTTTGGACTCGCTGGGTGTTGACGGATCGGCCTCGCAGCGCTGGCGACTCAGTCTGAAAGCTTTCAGACAGGAGGGCGAGGGGGCTGGCTGCTGGGTGGTGTCTGTGTGTGTGTGTCTGTGTGTGAGGACATGAGCTTATAAACTTACTGTCGGCTCAGTGAAACAGTGAGACAGAGAAACTAGAGGGGCTACAGATGGGTGCAATGGCGAGTTTATGCCACAATTGGCTTTAAATATCTACGTTGATATGTACTTTTGTAAATATTGGACACGTGCACGCGGTTTGCAAAGAAGTCACTGCAACTTTTAGTTGAACATAAAAAGGAGTTTTGTCTTTTGGGTTTGTTGTGTCCGAGACAGCAGTGAATCCCAGCGGTGCACGCAGCATGGGGAGGGAGTGGGGTGGGGTAAGGCGGCATCCCATCATGTCCGTGTTGCACAGGGGTGAGGGAGGAAGGTGCACAGAAGCGGAAACACAGCTGATCGGCGATCGGCATGGCGATGGGAGTCTAGTCCTCTGAAGCATTGGGACGGGAAAAGGAGGGCGGGTGAAAAAAAGAAAAAAATGGAAAAAAAGATGAAAGTGTAATAAAAATGATTAAAAAAAGAGAAAGACCATAAAACAAAAAAAACGGGTGCGTTGATGAAAGGTCCATTCGAGAAGGAAAGAATAAATTGGTGGAATAAATTAAGAAATATGAGCATAAATTAAAAATTTAAAAGGAACTCAAATGAGGAAAAGATAAGGGGGGAAACAGGAAGAAAGCAAGTTAGTAAAGCTGTCATAAAATCAACTCATTAAACAACATGCAACGCACCAAGTATCTTATTCTGCGTCACATGCCAGATTTAATTCTGCCCTGGTTAAGTACAGCGCCCTCCAGAATCATCAGCACCCTTTAGTAATAATTAACACAATGCCTTTGTCTTTTATCGTCATAGTCTTTCAATTAAAATAGTTGACTTTTCATTGAAGGGAAATTGTTTAAGGAAAATAAGATGCTTGACATTTAATAAGGATTTTTCTCCAAAACATGTCTGCCACAATTATAGGTACCCTTAGAAAATTTCCTGATTAAAATCTAATTGAAGTATAATTAGTTACTTTTTTCATTTTCAAGATGACCAGTTGGATTAGGAACCTTTAAGTGTTCAACCACTACTTCCTGTTTCACTGGGGTGTAAATATGAGATGACACACACGAAGATGTGCAAAGAAAAGTTGTTGAAAACTCTGATAAAAGTTGAGAATTCCCATTTCCACTATCAGGCCAATAATTAAGAAGTTCATAGCGACAGGAGATGTTAAGAATGAGCAGAGACGAGGACGTGTGTGTACATTGAGCACCAAGAGGAGGATGGTTCGGCTGGCAAAGGAATCTCCAAGAATCTCAGCTGGAGAATTGCAGAGATTAGTTGAGTCTTGGGGTCAGAAAGTCTCCAAAACTACCATCAGATGCCACATACATCAACACAAGCTGTTTGGGAGGGTTGCCAAGAAAAAGTCCCTGCCGTCAATTAACAAGAACCTAAAGCGCCTGCAGTTTGCGAAACGTTACTGGGACTTCCAATGGGTTAGTGTTATGTAGTCAGATGAGACACACTCAACCATTGACGGTATGGTGGTGGATCTGTGATGCTGTTTTTCCCTGGGCATCTCGTTAGGATACATAGTTTCTTTGACTCCATTAAATACCAGCAGATATTAAATGAAAACCTAACAGCCTCTGTGAGGAAGTTTAAAATGGGCTGGCGTTGGGCCTTTCGGCAGAACAAAGATCCAAAGTACCTAAAAATCTACACAACAATGGTTCACGGACCACAGAATAAAGCTTTTGACGTGGCCATCAAAGTCCCCCGACCTAAAACCCACAGATAATCGGTGGGATGAGGTAAAGCGGAGAGTCCACAAGCGTCAACGCTGGGAAACCAAAGGATCTGGAGGAATGTGAATGGAGTAATGGTCTCAGAGACGGGGCCATGTGTTCACCAACCTCATCACGCATTATTAGAGAAGACTGCACTAGAGCGGTTATCTTGGCAAAGCAAGGCTGCAAAACATTTTAACCTGTGAGGAAAATATACGTTTCTTGATAAGAATTTAAAGTTGACCTAAATCATGCTCAGTTAAAGGTTAGATCTTTGTGAATATTTTGAATGAAAGATCCTGAGGATGAAACATGAAGACTTTTTTTGCATCTTGTCTAAAGGGTGCCAATAATTCAGATTCTAATTCTGGAGGGCACTGTACACTGGTCATGTCATGCAGAAGCATCACGCAGCATCCAGAAACAAACATCTCCATGTGCTCTGTCAGGCACGGCCTTGAGCTCGAAACTATCTGACCCAGTTACTACTTATTAAGCCTGCCTCCTCTCCCCGGGGAGTGCTGCAACAGCGGTGATGAATGAATCAAACGCACCCCGACGAGCCAGATGCTCAGAGGCCTAAAGGTCCGTTCCTTCATACCTCACGCTGCACCTTTCTGTTGAGACCCGAATCCAGACTTAAAGAGCAACCCTCCAACAGTGTCCTCCTCCCTCCCGGTGTACGGCTGGGGGGTGCGTACAAAGACACATTTTCATTACTAATGTAATGCTCCGTAACCTTGGTTACGAGCAGCAAATGCCATGCAAACAAGCGGACAGCTAAAGCGGAGAACGTGCAAACGTCAGTATTTACACGCTGATCACTCCCCCCACTGTCACCAAACATCTACCCACAGTGCACGGTGGCTTCTTACAGTCCACCGCGCTACGTGAGGTCACCCATTGGTTTGTGAACGGCTGTTTTGAAGCCAGTAGTTTGTCATTCAGGCCACCGCCAACAGAAGTGACACCAGAGGGAGGAGCTAAGTACAACCAAACACTGCATAAGACATTTTGAGGGGTGTGAAAGGGTTAAAGTGTAGTGAAAACATGGACAATTGTCACAGAGTTCCAGTAAATAGAGAACTCTTATTTTAGGTTGATAGGTATTATTTCTGTGGCTGATTCATTTGTGCTGTATTCACTGTGCAGGTGAGCTCATTACAGACAGGCTCACATTACAACTAAACAAAAGGTGTGGCTCGGGCTGAGCGCCTCCTGAATAACAAGGGATATTGAATCTCAAACCCAACCCGTGTGCATTCGCTCAGTCCTGGGAATGATCCGCTCGGTGTGCTCTGCAGAGGGTGGTTTGATACCTCTTACTGGCTCTTTCTTTAGACGACTCCAAAGGTCCCGCTCAAGTTTGGGTTTTTATTATTATTGTCTGGCCATTTGTTACACAGATAAGGCACAAATACACAGAGGAAATCTAAAATAATAGAGTTTGAAAGATTTATAAGGGTTATATTTTTTGAGATTTGCATTGGTTCATGCAGTTTGAAATGGAACCACTGCATTGACGACAGCAATAAGTGATCCATTATGTTAAAGCTGAGAGGGGGCGGGGGAGACCAGACTATTGAAAAACAAAAGTCTGATGAGCTGATACCCAAGATGATGATGACACACACACACACACACACACACACACACACACACATTCGTTTCTAGAGCTTCATCCTTTTTCTGCGGCTCATTATCTCCAATGAGATATAACAATAAAACTATATATTCAGATCAAAGGCAGAGAAATTATTGCATACAAGCTTCATTCCATTTACTAAAAGGACTGAGTCGATGCAATCAGGGCGACAATGTGACAATCACCTGTTGTCAAATTCAGATTTTGATCTAAAAAGAAGTCTTTACCGCTTATCCCTCGTAGCTCGCTGTAGAAAGGCAGCCACCTAGTAATGCAATGGGTGCCGCTTTATACAAGTCCACGACCTCGGATTCTGGAGAGAAGCCAATGTGGAAGTGTCTTAAAATCTGCATTCTATCGGATGACCACCAGGGGGCAACTCCTTTGGTCCTATAGAAAATGACTACTCCTGTCTTGATTGATTTCCTCAGTAAACATTGTAAACATTGTAAAGATGTAACATGTAATGTCTTTAGACACAATGCACCTGGAGCATCTGATGACAACTATACTTTTTCTGAGTACTTTCATGTTCTAAACACAATATTGGGACAGGATATTCTATTTAAAGGGATAGCTCAGCTTGGTCTGCAGTGCGGTCGTATGAGGTTCTTCTCAGTAGTCAGTGTGTTACTGCGGCAGATGGGGTAAAGTGTGTTGATGTGAACATTCTTTAGACACTAAGATAATCTACACCGGCTATATTGCAGAGTATTTTCAGCACTTCACCTCTACCAACAGTAGTTTTGCTTTGCAAAATACAGGACCTGTTGGTCACATTGAAATCCCAAAGTAACACAACAATACACACACACACACACACACAGGTTGGATCAGAGATCACCAGCAGAGATTGACAGCTCTGATTGGTTGTTTCTTTTTCTGATTGTTGGAGGAGCTAGGAGCATTAAAAAGGAGGCAGAGCAATTATTAACAGATTACCTGTAATACAGAATGTATTACTGTCAGGCTACAGTTTAAGAGAAAATGTGTGTTACTGAAATCACCAAAAGTAAACCCTTTTAAGAAGAATTATTTTTAGCAAGAACACAAACAAAGAAATGTGCTACAGTGTTCCTGAGTGTAATGTAAAAAGAACCTTTGGCATTTGTAGGAGCAAAGTTAAAGAGCCACGAGAGCAGCTCACATCCTGCTCCGACACACACACACACACACACACACACACACACACACACACACACACACACACACAGAGGATGGAACTTAGAGAACAAAGAACAGGCCGTGATTGGCCAGTGAGAAGGCTAAGGAGCCTTAACTGGAAGGCAGAGGGGAATTGTGGGATGTGTCTTACCAGGCTTTTGCACCCCATGAGCTTCTTGCTCGCCATTCTCCATCGTCACACCCGTGTCTGCACAGCAAACACACACACAGACACACAAAACAAAACACATTACCATCCATCAGGGTGGTGTTGGGCAGAGTGCATGGTATCGGTTTGGTCGGGCGGATAAGTGGCAGATGGAGCCGTGTCGGATGCAGGTGTGTAACGCGCTGTGATAACGGGCGCCTCGCTACAGGCGTGTGTGCCACGTGCCTCTGGACGAGCTTGTTAGTATCACACCGACCTGTGTGGGCAGACTGGGGCAGAACATATTCACTGCTGATACTGTCTGACATCTGACTGCTGAGTCACACACACACACACCATTCTGTAAAAGTGGTACATTGAGGGGAGTGGAGAGCACGGCCTTCCCCCCGATCCCCCGGCCAATCAATAAATCACTCAAACATTGATTTAATATACCGTAATTACACATGCATATATATATATATATATATATATATATATATATATATATAAATGTAGCTCTGGTTCACCCATGTACTCATGATGCACACACTTATTATTGTGAGCTGATTGATCAGCAGTCGTTAATTGATATTTTATGTTAATGTTGAGCACATAACAAGGCCCATTCTGCAGTCAGTACATGCAAACATGTGCACAGCACGCACACACACACACACACTACCATGCTGGCACGCAAAAGACCCCAAACCACATCTAGCATCAACACACACACACACACACACACACACACACACACACACACACACACACACACACAAGGAATGAGTTTCTAGTGTCCACACAGAAACATGGAACGCCATGGATGTAAAGCACAGGACACGCATCACAGTGCACGCTCCGTGCACATCGGGGTACCACACAAACAACTCTGGGACAGAAGAACAGAAACAAAAACAAGCGCTCCCTGTTTTGCTGACAGCGAGACGAGGACAGACTGAGGACAACGCCTCGCCCTGCAGTCCTGGCGCGTCAGCATGTCTGCGCCTGTCCAAAGCGCACGGCGTGCCACGGCGATCACCAGAGACGCGCGCCCACGGCCCGTCCCACGGCCCGCTGTCACCGACCCGAGACCCAGACAGTCTGACCAAAGTGTCGGGCCCGAAAGCAGAGTCAGCCGCTGTCACTTCATTTTATGTTTGTGTTCACTCAGCTGTGTGTTTGATCCGTCGATCTGCTGACACACACTGGAATAGCAGTGTGTGCCTCTCTTTAATGCTTACATGATGTATATCTATGTAAATATTTTCTATAACCTCTCCCAATCAGAGTCCCCAGATGCTTAGAATCTTGATGCCTTTCTGCATATTTGACCAAAACAAACTGATTTGACTTACTGCCAATAAGTCAGCCCATCTACTGTATGTTGTTATGGTAACGCTGTCATCCTTCGGAGGGACAAGTCCTAATTGGCATCAACCAGTACCAGCTGTATGAGCGCGCAGCATTGAAGAAGCCTTTAGCTAGCCAGTGGGACACAGCTGTTGTCTGTTGGCTGCCCCTTAGGCTCAATGGCACCTCGGCAGAAACAACAACCAGTGTGTCGGGTTCCGCCGAAGCGATCCCTCCGTTGGTGTTACATTACACGATGTGTGGTATCATGGGATGTGTGGCGGGATGCACGAACGTTTAATTATCATTTTAAGTTGAGATGGAATGATGGATTTGGACCCGGGAGACCTTTACAGAAACAAATCCCCCTGGGCTCCACCATGTCGGTCTCACCTGCCCTGGTGTCGTCGTTGTCCAGCAGTGGCACGTAGTTAGTCTTCCCCACTGTTTCCCCGACCTGATCATCGAAGGGCTCCGCCTCCAGCTCGGCCACGAAGTCCTTCTCCACCCGGTCCTCTGGGCCCGGCTGGGGAGCGCTGTCCGTCAGCGCGTCGCTCAGACTCAGGTCTAGCTCCGCCATGACTGCAGACAAGCACAGACGGAGAGGACAGTGAGCGTGCGATCACGCACAGGACAAAGCACTTGTTCCTCAAACAACCGTTGGATCGTTCCCTCCCACGCTGCAGAGACCTCAACTCCTCCGGGATCCCTCCCACAACACTTTGGGGAGTTTTTCCTGTGCCGATGGTGGGTTTCGGGGCAGAGGATGTTGTATGTGTACAGACTGTAAAGCCCTCTGAGGCAAATTTGTAATTTGCGATTCTGGGCTATACAAAATAAAATGACTTGACTTGAACACTGGGAACACGATATGCTACAAAAAAGGATCAAATGATTCTGCATGATAAAATAAATGACCTTTTCCACTCAAACGGTAGTTACCACAGTGTGTCTGCCTCTCCTTCCAACACGGAGAAGAGTTGAATCTCACTAAATCATCTCTCTACCTTCCTGAGGGGTGTCGGTTTGCGTGCGGCTGAAATGCCTTTTGCTTCTGGTGCAGTTGTAGATCCCTTGCAGACCCTCCTGCCGCAGTGAAGGACGGCAAGGAGTCGGTAATAAGCAGGTTTTACAAAACTCTCCCCTCAACCATGTAAGTTTATTGAGCTTTCAGTCATAAATGTAGGACAAAAATATTACACTGTATGTAGTATGGCAGATTATCCATTACCGTGATCTCCCCCGAAGCCACCGCTATCTGGAGATAAGGAATGTGAATGTATAACTATGTTTCCCCGAGGTTTATGGCTTTGGGAGGGAGGGGGAGGACATGCAGCTCAGAGCTGAGCCAAGGAGGAAGACGTTGAAAAAGGGACATGGGATTGAAGATAAGGGGTTAAAGGAAATGAGACTGTGAAAAAAAAAAAATGTTTTGATCCAAAAAAAAACACAATTTCAGCTCATTGCATCAGAGCGCCTGGGAAGTCTTGAATCCGACGGGCAACACAAACAGAACGACTACATCTTTACAGGAAAATCTGATGTTCACTAGTCTACAGCAAGACCTGGAGCCAAATGGTGGCATGGCTATAGCGGCAAATCACTGTCAAAATTCGAGAGCGTAAATCAGGTTGATGCGCGCGCGTAAATCAAACATTCGCGAGCAAATCTCCATCTCGCGCGAGATATGTGCTCGCTCGCGGAGCGTGAACTTCCTCGCTCGCTAGGTTAGTTTCTGCTCGCGCTCGAAGGTGTTTTCTACGCGCTCGCTGTTTTTCTTTTTGACAGTAAAGGGGCGGAGCCAGTCACCATAGTCTGTACATCTGATCGGTTACAAACCCCGTCTTTGGATTGGCTGGAGTGATGCATCCACACAACTATAGAAGCCCATTTCCGCACTAAAGAAAGGGGATGGAAAGTCGAAATTATGCAATGTCTGATCCCTGTGGTGTGAAGAACCCATGTGTAATGCTGCTTACCACCACAATGAGGCACAGTTACATCAGGGTTTTTGCTCTGTGCAAGACTTGGTGCAATATGCACACACACACACACACACACACACACACACACACACACACACACACACACACACACACACACACACACACACACACACACACACACACACACACACACACACACACACACACACACACACAAGGCATCAGGTCGTCTGGGAGTTCAGCTGACCGACAGCCGGCAGGGAGTTTGATGAGTCATGCCGCGTCATCTTCTAACTAGGATTTCAGATCATGTTGGGCGCCAGCAGCACCCGTCCTCCCTCTGCTCAGCCCCGTCTGTACCTTTCCCGTATCGTCGCCTGAGGAGGAACCCTCTGCCCTGCAAAAAGAGCCCTTCTCTTTTTGTCTGAGATCAGGCAGTTTCCTTGAACCGTCAAATACGACTCCATGCCCCCCCCCCCTTCTGGAGTATCTGCTCACTACCACAGGACTACACCACATTCTACTATCTACTCTATCAACTTTTGAGTGACTGTGGCGCCTGTCAGGGCAGGGTTAATGGTTCGAACCCCGGCTGCTCCATGTCCCGTGTCGAAGTGTCCCTGTGCAAGACACCCAACTCCTAACTGCTCCCTCTGCGTGGTACGATTTACATGCAGAGAACATGTTCCCCACTGGGATTCATAAAGGATTCTTTCTCCTTCTTCAAACTGCACGAGTCCACAGTAAAGACTGACCTGACCTGACCCCCCTCTTGAAGGACTGATCCAGGTCTCAGATGATCCCGTGATACAGCCCTGATACTCTCGCCACAGTATCAATGACAAATGGAAGGGGAGCGTCTCACCTGGGCTAAACAGTGTTTGTGTCTTTTATCTTCCAAACGTTGCTAGGCAACCACCTACTGAGCGATAGCTTGACCCACATCTACGATTTGTTATTTAATAGGGGCTGGAGTGATGAACCACAGTCTGATCCCCATGTGTCCTCGGGCAAGGCCCTTCACCCCAAATACATCCCAAAGCCGCCCTAGTAAAGTCCATCTAAATGATGAGAAAGCAGTTTAAATGAATGAATTATCATTGTTGTTAATAACCACTAAAATGCCTCCTGCTGTTCTCCGGTCAGATCATGGTGGCTACAGTCGACATGTCGCTCTGTGTATCAAACTGAGAAATCTAATTTGATTTTTTGTTAACTCAACGTGTTCAGGGTGTTTCGTAGAGCGGAGGAAACACATTGATTAAGGAGTTTTTGTTGCCCTTACATTTTAGAAGTGTTCAACATTGATGCAGCTCGTTTATGATCGGTGTTATGGCGACCCACCATCTTATTATCATTATTTTAAAACTATAGGTCCCCAACTGAGGGAAGCTGTAGAACTCCTTATTTCAAAAAGAGTGACTTGAACAGACGGAAAGTAAAAACCTCATTAACAACCGAATGAAGCCTTCGTTTCCTTTAATATTCAGTCCTTTGCTCCAGTTTGTCAGCAGGAAATAGCACCGGCCATGAGCGATATGCACACACATGACGCGTTCTGCCGCCACAGACACAATCAACCAGCCGGTCACTCGAAGCAATAGGGTGTTTCTGAGGCAGGCACGTAAATACACTGCCGGGGTCTCAGCAGGCTAAGTGGGCCCCCGGTGGTGGGACCAGGGTGTGCCGCCTGCTGCCTCCAACCACAAAGCCACGATGGTCAGAAACACTGCCCCCATTTCCATATTTAACCCCACTTCATCTGTGTGTGTTTAGCACATGCTGCGCCAGCTGCAGAGGAGGTGATTCATGCCACCCGGTCCAGCAGCTGACCCGGTTCCAAACACAGCAGAGACCCGTCAGTTTGTTCCTACAGCGAGGTCTTCATTGCAAATGGCAAATGGGTTGTTTCTTTTCTCGTCTCCGGACCACGCAAAGTTCGTTTACGCCACATGACATCATCCACCCACTAGCCCATCAGTAGCTAAATTCACGCACCGCAGTCACTGGGTTGAGTGTCTGGCCCGAGGACACACCAACATGCGGACAAGCAGAGCTGGGATTGAACCGGTGGAAGGACCATGTTCTCCACTCAGTCAGTCACCAGTTTGGCGAGCTGCCCATAGTTTGAGCCGAGCTCCTGTTTTCCGAGTTGGGTTTGGGCCACTCGGAAATAATCTGGATTCAACAAAGGAAGGAAATCCAGAGAGGAGGCCGATGCTATTGTGTTGAGTCCTGTGTGTGTGTGCGTGTGTGTGTTGTGGGGAGGGGGGTTAGTCATGTGTTGTTTGCCGGGCGTGATGGCCCTCTCTGTTGGGCCCTTTCAGCCAGAAGAGTAATGTTTTTTGATTTAGTGGCATTTATTACTCATATTAATACGCAGGAGTTAAATCAATCTCAATATACAAACTCACAAAACGCTCATTTATCAAATGGCGTAGGTACAGTTTAGCATAAAAGGTGCAGTATTTGCTCGGGGGGGTGTACGCCGGCACAATGCCACAGCCGGCCTGTATCGAGGTGACGGGGGGGGGGATCAGCAGGCGCGGCGGGCCTGTTGCTTTTCACTTGAACAGTGAGTGCTGCACGGCCTTTTTACACAGCGAAAAGAAGAAGCCTCACTTGGAGCTAAACTCTTTTACCATTTGTGAATCATTAACCTTCGTTACACCTTCTGACGTGGAGCTCATGGGCCTGGCCGGGACTCGCACCGCCACGCTCCGGCTGCTGGCATATCTACGCCCCCTATGCCTGCGAGCCAGGACCACTCCAGCCAACGGCCAACGTCTCAGACATGAAGAGAAGAACAATACCAAATACCAGTTTAAATCCTGGATTCTCAATTCCACATTCAAAATAAGAACCATACATACGGACTCCTCAGTTTATGAGCGCTAGCTTCAGGGACCTCACGAGAAACACTTTGCCTGTCAGATAAGAAAATCATAAATGGTAAATGAACCTACGATAAGAACAGTCACTCTGAACACACTTGGGACTCATCTAAATGATCTCATCATTTTAGGAAGCCAACCGTTGAGTTCAGCGTGTCGACTATTTTATTGGAGATACGTCAGAATTATGCCTGTAGTATAAATAACTAGCAAAGAAAAGATGATCTCATTTGTCGGAAGATGGATTTATTTTTACAGCTGCACTATTATCCTACATATTATCTGTGAATGCAGATAATGGGACGTTAAATAAAGCTATACAAAGGATAGACAAAGGACGAGGCACTGGCTCTGGTGTTATTAGGTGTGTCGTGTGTATTGATTATTTTCATTAGACATCAACAGTCATGGGCAAAAAAGTGTTCAGGAAACCTGGCTTCTGATGTCACTTTCTAAGAGAGGCGGGACACTTCCTCCAACTGCTCAGCTTACTCCGTTACCATGCCAGCGTGTGCGTGTGTGTGTGTGTGTGTGTGTGTGAGAGAATGAGAGCTGGCACATACTGCTGCACGAACACTTCTCTTATTCCTCCATTATGCAGACTGGCTTCTACAGATCCAGGATCTATCTTTAAATATGAATGTGGAAGACGACTGTATGCACGTCCTCTTTGACCCCGAGGACGACTATTTAGTGAGTGCGTGTGTGTTTGAGATCATTTCCTGTTGTTCTTTTCTGAAGG